GAGGTCGTGGGGACTTTCAGCACCCTTTCACCAGTCACTTTACATGACATACCGAAACAATATCGTGATTTACTGTTGTCGTCATGTTCCTAGCTTATCGAAGCTTTGTCTCTTAGACATGGTGAAAGCTCATAGTTTCATTCCGCTTCCTAATTTGAAAACAATGGGAATGATAGATCTCTTAAGGAAAAACACGATACCCAGCGAGCTAAGCCTACCTGGTAGCAGTCCTGACACGTCGGTTGTGTATCAACTACGAAGAATGTCGAATCGATGGCTTTGTCGCAGCCCTTGCATTTGAAACAGGTACGGTGGAAATTCTTAAAACATCCGTTTGAATGTTACAACAATTGTCTCAACTGATGTCTCTGTTTACTTTGAAGTTCATGCGCGAAATCTCTCTCTCATCTCTTAAAATCTTAATGGATTAGGAACGCTTGATGATCTCATTCTCTAAACGGTGAGTTTCACGATAATAGGACGTAGGTATTGAGGCGTGAAGCTTGGAACTTGGGTACTGAATGTTTGGTTAGTAAAAAATAAAACAATTCTGGAGAACGCCCTCAATAACGCCATTATTTTTGCATTGCTTCCAAGGAGAGTTCACTGTGAGCAAAATTAGGCGCTGCTGAGGGGGAAGCTTTCGAGGAGACGGGAGAGCGAAGGGACAAGCTAGACACAGAAACCAACGCATTCACCATTCACATTCTGAGGCAGATTTTGTTCTTAAATCACACGCTACTATGGTCCTTGCCATTCATGTTCGAGTCCCGAGTTCAGCAAAAGCTCTGCATTTGCAGAACGAACTGTCAAAAAAGAGGGTGTGTTCTCAGCGACGATAGGCGCTATCTCTCGAGGATATTGAGAAGTCTTAATCGTTTTCAATTGGCCGCTATCTTAGCGGTAAGCTCGTCTAATTGTTAGCTCGAATCAACGGACAGAATGAGATTTCCTTTTCAGTGTCTCAAGCGGCTTCCTCAGCTTTCTTCTTAACTGTTGTACATACAAATTTATGATGACCATTACCTCCGAGGCTAGTGGTTTGTGGGTGACACTAGCTAGTACCGCTCATGATTGCTACGCGACTGCCTTCCTTTTGAGACAAGAATACTGGTAACACTGACGAGTAGTGATGCGCCCGATTGTCCTGCTAACTGCCAATTACTGTGTGCTAGCCGTACCTTTGAAGACCCATTCTGGCGTTATCTGAGTAGTACAGTCAGCTTGTGAGCTAATCCGGTCTTCGAGCACATAGGTTGTTCCGATTTCAGGGTTCTAGATGTCTAGCGGGGGTCTTTCCCATACGTGAGGCGCAATTTCTTCCCGTAAGTTCACTGCCCTGAATTGGGGTGCAGGAAGCCTTTTTTTGCGTTTTTAGCGGATTTGTTTTAGCTTCATTCCTCGTTGACCGTCCCTATCAGTCTCATGTCAGAACCTTAAATAGCTCATTCTGCTATCTGGGACGCGTGTTCAAGGACTAGATCTACCCAGCGACAAATGTGGGCATCAAGAAAAGCTACCGTATCTGTTTGTGTTCGAGAAAATGTTTGGATTCAAGCTTTGATTGACCTACCTTGTTAAGTGCAATTAATCCAGGGTTGGCCCTACTGATTGGCTGTTCACAAGACGAACACGTTTTGGCTGTAATAAAACATTATTGATGGCATATAAAGAATTTCGTGGACTGTTCAGACCAGCCCAGCCTCAAGTCTGTTTCAGTATGCATGTCACTTCTTTGTAATCTCTGTATTTACACTGTTTCTTCGATTCTTCTGTTACTTCGTTCATGAGATGTCGTGAATGACAATTAATGGTAACAAATGACTACAAGACGCAGAGAATAAGGTTCTTCTCCAGT